TTACATGACTAACTCATGCAGTATTTTAGTAGCTTTTTTTAGTGAATTCCAAATATTTTTTTAAAAAAAGTTTGTGCAGTATCTTACTTGATAAGGTAAGATACCGCTTATTGAATTGTCCCCATTGATTTGATTTGAATTTCTCTCTTGTTAATTTATTTTCCGATTTGTTGATTGATAAAATAAACTGTTAGCACTTTTACCTCTGAAAGCATTCTTCATTTACAGCATTTTTAACCTGCTTAAAACTTTTTCACAGTAGTGCATTTTAACCACTTCAATACTTGACACTTTCATTCCCTTTCTGCCCAGACTAATTTTCAGATTTCAGCAATTACCTCAATTTAATTTTTATATTTTTTTAGATAGATCTATATTTTGGTGGTATTTAAAGTGGTTCTAAAGTCTCAAGGTTTTTTTACCTTCATGCATTCTATGCATGGAAGTACAAAGCCTTCTGTGTGCAGCAGCTCCCCCAGCCCCTTCACCACTTACCTGAGCCCCATCGCAAACCAGTGATGTGAAAGACAGCCTCGGCTGTCTTGGGTCTCTGCCTTCTCATTGGCTGAGACAGCAAGTGGGAGCCATTGGCTTCCACTAATGTCAATCACAACCAGTCAGTCAATAAGGAGAGGGGGTCACAGCTCCCTGTGAATGGACATACAGAGCAGCGGGTGCCTCCATAGCAAGCTACTTGCTGGGGGGACACCCGAAAGAAAGGAGGAACCAGAAGATCCTGCGGGGGACCAAGGAAGAGAAGGATCTAGGCTGCTTTGTGCAAAACCACTGCACACAAGAGGTAAGTATAGACATCTTTGCTATTTTCCTAAAAAAAATAAAACTAACTTTTAGAATCACTTTATTCATCACTTTTTTTTGCTATATAAATAAAAAATATTTTCCTTGTTTCAGTTATAAAATGTTGTAAATAAATAATATTTCTTCATAAATTTAGGCTGAAATGTATTCTGCTACTGTTCTTTGGTTAAATAGGAAATCAGTGTAGAATATCTATCTAGTCTATGTGAAAGATAGTCTAGTCTAGTCTATGTGAAAGATATATATATATATAGATATATATATATATAGATATATATATACAAACTTGGATATATATTTGAAAATGTATCAGTCCTGAGGTACTGAAGGCCTATCTCATTTCTTGAGGCCCCAAAATTCCAGAACAGTACAAATACCCCCCAAAATAAAACCTACACTACACAGTCCAATGTATTTAATAGAAGACATGGTGATTTTTTTTTTCACGTACTATCACCAGAGCAGTTTCGCATCACCATATGGTTAGTATGATGGTGATCAGGGACACTGACTGGTAACAGTATGTAAAAAAAAAAGTCAATCTTTTTTTTACTTTTTCTTTTTGTCCAATTTTTTTTTTCATTTTTATATAATACTGTGACCAGAACAGTACAGTGTCACCCTACTGAGGAGTTGTTTACACTATGATTGCTTATTTCAGTGATGATCTCTATTATAAGAAATCATTTTTATGAAAGGCATCCTTTCATGTGCCATCATGTACAGCTGTGATAACTGTGATTAGCCACAGCTATAACATTATACATGTTGGCTGTGATTGGGCTGTACTATGTGATTAATGTGACCAATCAAAAGGATCACAATAATACACAATGAATGGTTAAGAAATAAATCCATTGTGTACAACTGCCATGTGATCACTGTGATTGGTCACAGCAATCACATGGTACCAGGACTGCCCCAGTACAATGACTTGCCCTAAAAAAGATCATGCCACTGTGTGGCCCTTAGGGCACACACAAGGCACATAAGTGGAAGGATATTACAGTTTATGACATCCACCCAGGATCATTATGCTCAAGCTGTATTATTAAAGTAGGATTGGCGGGAGGGGTTAAAGGAGTTTTAAACCCAAAACAAAACATTCATTATATTGCAAGCTACCAGTTCTGAGATGTGATGTTTGTATCAATTCTGTTTTTTGGATTTTCTTTCTTTTATTTTCATATGGTGATCTAGCTAAGTCTGCTTTTTTTCAAAAGGTAGATTAGGTAGAGGGAGGAGACAAAACTTGTATCACTGACAAAGGTGCTTTTAATGTCATGTTCAAACTTGCACAGGTGTGAATGGAGCCTTAATGTTGGACAGAGGCCAATGAGATGAGACATCCACAGCTTATTTTACCACCTAAAACTTGGTTCAAATAACAAACATACAGTATGTATACTTATCTGCTCTGTGTAGTGGTTTTTCACAGAGAAGCCTGGATCCTACTTTTCTCGGACCACCCGCAGGCTCTCTTGGCTCCTCCTTTCTGTTGGGTGCCCCCATAGCAAGCAGCTTGCTATGGAGGCATTTGCTGCTTCGTGTGTCCATTCACACATGGAGTCATGGCTTGGCCTAGCCCATCTTTCTCTTCACTGGCCGGCTGGCTGTGATTGACAGCAGCAGGAGCCAATGGTGTCCACTTGTTGTCTCAGCCAATGAGAAGGCAGAGACCTGGGACAGCTGAGGCTGTCATTCACATTGCTGGATCGCGATGAGGCTATGGTAAGTATTGTGGGGGCTGGGGGCACTACTACACACTGAAGGTTTGCATGCATGAAGGTAAACAACCTTGAGCCTTTACACCCACTTTAAGCTTTGACAATAAAACCTGGAATCTGATTGGTTACCATGCCCAGCTACACCAGGTTAGGTGTGTACCAGATTTAGTAAATCTTCCCCATAGGGCAGTATTGCATAGAGAACAACAGATTCTTTTCTGGCTGTTCAAAGAGGTGTGTGCATTTCTTGGTGATGAGTTCTCTACTTACATTTCTAATAGTTTGATACCCCCCAAGTCATTCCAGTTCTCCCATTCCAGTTGCTTGCTTGGCAGCCCTCTAAAAGGCACACATTACTATCAAAATTCACCTTTTATTGACTTTAATGCAATTCACGTCAATGTTTGATTTTTGGGAATCTTTTTGATGAATCAACATTAGGAATTATCCATTTTTTGCATATCTACTCATCACTGTTTACCATAAGTACACCATACTGCATACCTCACTCCTATACTGGATAATCCGCCTAACTCAGGAATGATCTAATTTTGGCCACTTAATCCATCGCTCCTTACTATAAGTACACCATATACTGTGCATGCACCCCCCTGCATACCACAGGCACATATTATATACTGTGAGTATAAGACTGGTTGTGTGGATACTATCAATATACTGGCATATGCAAAAGAAAAAAAGGTTTAGTAAATCAGTAGAAAATATATGATCACAAAAAGGCGTGTGATCCTCCTAATAAGCCATGGCATATAGTAGAGGTCCATATACAGTCTATAGAAAGTCAAATATTGCACAAATGGCAGCCATCCCAGACTGAGCCAACTCTATAGAAATGATAGAAAGAAAAAGGGGAAAAGGCATCTTCTAAGTGCAGTATCCAGGTAAAACTTTTTTTCCAAAAATATCTTATTAGAAGAAAAGCAGGGTGTAACAGTGTACATACAAAAACGTATCACAGTCCGAACATAGACACCCCATGTAACATCCCGTTACGCAGACGGGCCATGAGTTTAAACCAGAATACACATCGGTATGAAATATATCCTTATTGCACATGTATATAGCAAACCAGTATATCCCAAGAGTACAATAGGTGAATTGAAGTGGGTATATTGCTTAACGACCTATGCATTTGTGGGCCCTTATGTTAAGGGGGTGCGATGTGTTGGGTAGTGCTAGCGCAGGATGATTTATATGATATATGTGCGTCTATTGCAGGGACGTGTGAGCCATGTAAAATCAGTCACGCCCATATGGGAGAATGAATGCAATATTCGTATAGAATATATGAAGAATGAAGGTGTGTAAAAATGGGTAAGAGAAAGAAAAGTCAGAAAAGAGAACAAATAGAGAAGAAGATGAAGATATAGAGTGAGGTAAAGGGGGAATGAGGAGTAAAAGGGACAAAAAAAAAAAATGGGGAGGGGGGAGGAGGAGAATAAGTAGGTAATAACGGGGATGCTAAGGTGAATAGTTGTGGATAAAAAAGTGCACATCATTTTGTACGGGCCAAAAATATGGTCATATGGATTAAGATGCAATACGTGCAAGATCAAGCAAAGGGGTAACATGTGGGTCCAGAAGCCGAAATGCAGGCTACAATGTCAAGTCTCAGTCCATCCAAATGTGCACCAAATGAGTCTACGGTGGACAGGGGGCATTCCCTACTACAACAGTGTGTCTAACCATTCAGTCAGGGGGTATAGGCTGTGCATGCATTAATAGGCGATAGTTAGTAGTGGTTTTGAAATGGCTCCAACAAGCCCAAGTCTTCCTGAATCTCTCGGGATGTTCTTTCGCTACAGAAATCAATTCCTCCATTTCCTCCATTTTGTTGATCCTAGCAAACCATTCTCGAATAGTGGGAATATGTGTTGAGCGCCAGTGGACTGGGATACACTGTTTTGCCGCGTTGACCATGTGCATGGTGAGTGATTTGCGGTAATCCAGGTAAAACTTATTAAACCACAGTTAAAAACACTCACAAGGTTAAAAGGTATGAACACCCATCAGACATAATGTGAAGAGAAGCCAGGGTGTACAGCCACAGCCATGATCCACAGCCTGCAGGGTCCACCAGTCTATGAGAATCATCACTGTAGGTGGAAGAATAGCTTCAGGGAACTGCAGCCAAAACTGGAAGTTACTAGAACCAGCATGGAATTCACTAGCCGGGCGGATGTGACGTCACAGGTGGGAAGAAGCATGTTACCAAGGCCAAATTCTTTCAGCTTTTTTTGAAGATTGGCAATCAGGATCAATATAAATAATCAAAATATAAAGTATGAATCCTTGGTCATCTCTTCTGTAAATTAAGTCTTCAGCGTGTTAGCCATCAGTCATTGCCTGAAGAAGAGGCCACCATACTTTAAAAGCTTGCACCATGATATATAGTTACCAAATAAATGATATTACCTTATATTCAAACTTCCGCTAAAAATTTCCAAAGCTCTTTCTTAACTTGGCAAAAGCCATCTTTATGTCTCTGTTCCTCAAGCTGTATATGACTGGATTCATCAGTGGTGTCCCCACTGTATAGATCAGTGATACTGCTTTGCTTATAGTCAATGACTGTCCACTTGTTGGAAGGTCATAAATAACAATTAGTGTTAGATAAAATATACAAACCACCGTCAAGTGAGAGCTGCAGGTGGAGAACGCCTTCTGTTTTCCAGTCTTGGATGGAATTTTCAAGATGGTAAAAATAATATAAGTGTATGATATGATGATAATTAGGAATGGGAAGAAGAGAAGAGGTACACTATTCAATATCATGTCCAACTGAACCCAGAATGTATCTGAACAGGAAAGCTTTAACACTGGTGACACGTCGCAGAAGAAATGGTCAATTATATTTGGTCCACAAAAATCAAGCCAAGCTATAGTCATTGCAGCAATCGATGTGGAAAAAATGCAAAACAACCAGGAAATGATGGTCAAAATTACGCAAAGCAACCCATTCATTATAGAAGTGTAATGCAAAGGCTTGCAGATGGCCAAGTACCGGTCATAAGACATCACTGTCAGAAGAAGACACTCAGTAGATTCTATCACATCAAAAATATATTGTTGGAAAATGCAGCCTGTAAAAGACATTGTTCCACCCTCATGAAGTAACGTATACAGCAAGTATGGGGCAATATCTGTGGTTAGCAGAATATCAGATAGCGAGAGCTGGATGAGGAAGAAGTACATTGGAGTGTGGAGGGTTTTATTGTAGTAGACCAGTGTGATGATCAAGAGGTTTCCAAAAAGTGTCAAAACATAAACCATGAAGAGAAGAATGAAAAGAACAATGCTGATTTCTTTGGAGCTTTGGAATCCCAAGAGGATGACTTCAGTAATGGTGGTCTGGTTGTTTTTATACATTGCCTTAAAAACAAGAAAATGTTGAAATAAATAAAGTCGGGGGTACAGTCGCAGACAGGGGGCATTGTTCTGTGTGAGGGCATTTTCTACTGGTGTGCAAAACAGCTGAACACATCTCCTGATCGTGTCCTCTCTGCTTTTTCACAGGTAAATGCTGCTGTCTGTCTCACTGCTACGCACTGACTTTCTGCAAAGCTCAGGATAAGTAGTCTATATCTTTTTTTCTGTTTGTGGTGATTGATTCTCACCTCCGTTTTGCCTTTCTGTGATGAGAGAATCAATCATCTTTTATGACTCTGGCCTCTGTCTGTGACTGATCTGGCTTTGACCAATCTCCCCCCAAGTTCATGTGTTCCTTATCAGTTCCTAATCAGGGTGGAGAAGACTTGCTCAGTTGACCATCTCCCTATAAATTTAGACCAGCTTATGGGGGAGGTCACAGATGGGGGGGGGGTGTTGGGGGTACAGTTGCAGACAGGGGTCATTGTTCTGTGTGAGTGCATTTTCCGCTGGAGTGCAAAACAACAGTTGAACACAGCAGTTTAACTAAAGCAAGATAACTAAAGCAGCAAGAAAATACAACAAAGAACTCTACTGCACGCTGGAAGGACTGCAAGCAAACACCCTGGGAAACGTCTCCTACAAGTCTGATTCCCATTCCATCTACCTTTAATATGCCCCCTTTTCATATTACTATCCTCTGTTCTCAATATCACATTTCTTTATCCCTCTGCTCCACCCAAAGCTTATACTGTACATATCACCATATACTCTACCATCTCCCTACTACTGCTCTCTTCTCCTCCTGCTGATGCCTTGCTCACCTGCTGTACCAAACACCAGGACTGGAAGGCATGTGCACTCATATTCATCCCACTCCCATCTTACTTTCCTCACCCTCCTTCTTCTCCTAACCTCTGGGGGTATATCCCCAATCCCTGGTCCTCCACTATCTCACCCCCGCAACAGGCACCCTCCTTCCTCCGGGAATAGCCACAATCCACTCAATTTAACATCAATCCCCGTGCTCCTAAAAACCACCCTCCCTTTTTCATGTGTGCTCTGGAATGCCCGCTCTGTCTGTAATAAGCTCACCTCTGTTCATGACCTTTTTGTCTCCTGCTCCCTTACCCTACTAGCAATTACAGAAACCGGGCTTCAAGCAACAGATTCTGCTTCTCCCGCAGTACTTTCCTATGGAGGCCTCCTCTGGACCCACTCACCCAGACACAGTGGTCAGAAAGGAGGTGGAATTGGTTTGCTTTTATCCCCACTGAGCACCTTTCAAGCCCTCCCTAACCCTCCCTCTCTATCCTTCTCTTCTTTCAAGACTCACTGCATCTGGCTGTTTTTTCCCATTTCTCTGAGGATTGCAGTGATCTACCAACCTCCTGGACTGGTCTCCTGCTTTCTTGATGACTTGGCTACCCTAGTTTTTCTCCTCTGAAATACCCGCTATCATTCTCAGAGATTTTAACATCCCCACCTGAAATCTGTGCAATGCTTTAGAGCAGGAGAGTCCAAACTTTCTAAAGAAAGGCCAGTTTACTGTCCTTCAAACTTTAGGGGGGGGCAGACTGTGGTTAGTGGGAGTAGAAAATATCCTGGCTTGGGAGTAAACAATGGCCCATGATTAATATTAGTGGGAGGAATAGTGCCCCATCATTGGTGTCAGTGGGAGGAATAGTGCCCCATCATTGGTGTTAGTGGGAGGAATACTGCCCCATCGTTAGTGTCAGTGGGAGGAATAGTGCCCCATCATTGGTGTCAGTGGGAGGAATAGTGCTCCATCATTGGTATCAGTGGGAGGAATAGTGCTCCATCATTGGTATCAGTGGGAGGAATAGTGCCCCATCATTGGTATCAGTGGGAGGAATAGTGCCCCATCATTGGTGTCAGTGGGAGGAATAGTGCCCCATCATTGGTGTCAGTGGGAGGAATAGTGCCCCATCATTGGTATCAGTGGGAGGAACAGTGCCCCATCATTGGTGTCAGTGGGAGGAATAGTGCCCCATCATTGGTATCAGTGGGAGGAATAGTGCCCCATCATTGGTGTCAGTTGGAAGAATAGTGCCCCATCATTGATGTCAGTGGGAGGAATAGTTCTCCAACATTGGTGCCAGTAGAAGGAATAGTGCCCCATCATTGGTATCAGTGGGAGGAATAGTGTCCCGTCACTGGTGTCAGTGGGAGGAATAGTTCCCTATCATTGGTGCCAGTAGGAGGAATAGTGTCCCATCATTGGTATCAGTGGGAGGAATAGTGCCCCATCATTAGTGTCAGTGGGAGGAATAGTGCCCCATCATTGGTGTCAGTGGGAGGAATAGTGCCCCGTCATTGGTGTCAGTGGGAGGAATAGTTCAACATCATTGGTGCCAGTAGGAGGAATAGTTCCCCATCATTGGTGTCAGTGGGAGGAATAGTGCCCCATCATTGGTATCAGTGGGAGGAATAATGCCCCATCATTGGTGTCAGTGGGAGGAATAGTGTCCCATCATTGGTATCAGTGGGAGGAATAGTGCCCCATCATTGGTATCAGTGGGAGGAATAGTGCCCCATCATTGGTGTCAGTGGGAGGAATAGTGCCCCATCATTGGTGTTAGTGGGAGGAATACTGCCCCATCGTTAGTGTCAGTGGGAGGAATAGTGCCCCATCATTGGTATCAGTGGGAGGAATAGTGCCCCATCATTGGTGTCAGTGGGAGGAATAGTGCCCCATCATTGGTGTCAATGGGAGGAATAGTGCCCCATCATTGGTATCAGTGGGAGGAATAGTGCCCCATCATTGGTGTCAGTGGGAGGAATAGTGCCCCATCATTGGTATCAGTGGGAGGAATGGTGCCCCATCATTGGTGTCAGTTGGAAGAATAGTGCCCCATCATTGATGTCAGTGGGAGGAATAGTTCTCCATCATTGGTGCCAGTAGAAGGAATAGTGCCCCATCATTGGTATCAGTGGGAGGAATAGTGTCCCGTCACTGGTGTCAGTGGGAGGAATAGTTCCCTATCATTGGTGCCAGTAGGAGGAATAGTGTCCCATCATTGGTATCAGTGGGAGGAATAGTGCCCCATCATTAGTGTCAATGGGAGGAATGTTGCCCTTATCATTAGTGTCAGTGGGAGGAATAGTGCCCCATCATTGGTGTCAGTGGGAGGAATAGTGCCCCATCATTGGTGTCAGTGGGAGGAATAGTTCAACATCATTGGTGCCAGTAGGAGGAATAGTTCCCCATCATTGGTATCAGTTGGAGGAATAGTGCCCCATCATTGTTGTCAGTGGGAGGAATACTGCCCCATCATTGGTATCAGTGGGAGGAATAGTGCCCCTTCATTGGTGTCAGTGGGAGGAATAGTGTCCCATCATTGGTATCAGTGGGAGGAATAGTGCCCCATCATTGGTATCAGTGGGAGGAATAGTGCCCCATCATTGGTGTCAGTGGGAGGAATAGTGCCCCATTATTGGTGTTAGTGGGAGGAATACTGCCCCATCGTTAGTGTCAGTGGGAGGAATAGTGCCCCATCATTGGTATCAGTGGGAGGAATAGTGCCCCATCATTGGTGTCAGTGGGAGGAATAGTGCCCCATCATTGGTGTCAGTGGGAGGAATAGTGCCCCATCATTGGTATCAGTGGGAGGAATAGTGCCCCATCATTGGTGTCAGTTGGAAGAATAGTGCCCCATCATTGATGTCAGTGGAGGAATAGTGCCCCATCATTGGTGTCAGTGGGAGGAATAGTGCCCCATCATTGATGTCAGTGGGAGGAATAGTTCTCCATCATTGGTGCCAGTAGAAGGAATAGTGCCCCATCATTGGTATCAGTGGGAGGAATAGTGTCCCGTCACTGGTGTCAGTGGGAGGAATAGTTCCCTATCATTGGTGCCAGTAGGAGGAATAGTGCCCCATCATTGGTGTCAGTGGGAGGAATAGTGCCCCGTCATTGGTGTCAGTGGGAGGAATAGTTCAACATCATTGGTGCCAGTGGGAGGAATAGTTCCCCATCATTGGTATCAGTGGGAGGAATAGTGCCCCATCATTGTTGTCAGTGGGAGGAATAGTGCCCCATCATTGGTATCAGTGGGAGGAATAGTGCCCCATCATTGGTGTCAGTGGGAGGAATAGTGCCCCATCATTGTTGTCAGTGGGAGGAATAGTGCCCCATCATTGGTATCAGTGGGAGGAATAGTGCCCCATCATTGGTGTCAGTGGGAGGAATAGTGTCCCATCATTGGTATCAGTGGGAGGAATAGTGCCCCATCATTGGTATCAGTGGGAGGAATAGTGCCCCATCATTGGTATTAGTGGGAGGAATAGTGCCCCATCATTGGTATCAGTGGGAGGAATAGTGCCCCATCATTGGTGTCAGTGGGAGGAATAGTGCCCCATCATTGGTATCAGTGGGAGGAATAGTGCCCCATCATTGGTGTCAGTAGGAGGAATAGTGTCCCGTCATTGGTGTCAGTGGGAGGAATAGTTCCCCATCATTGGTGCCAGTAGGAGGAATAGTGTCCCGTCATTGGTGTCAGTGGGAGGAATAGTTCCCCATCATTGGTGCCAGTAGGAGGAATAGTGTCCCGTCATTGGTGTCAGTGGGAGGAATAGTTCCCCATCATTGGTGCCAGTAGGAGGAATAGTGTCCCATCATTGGTATCAGTGGGAGGAATAGTGCCCCATCATTAGTGTCAATGGGAGGAATGTTGCCCTTATCATTAGTGTCAGTGGGAGGAATAGTGCCCCATCATTGGTGTCAGTGGGAGGAATAGTGCCCCGTCATTGGTGTCAGTGGGAGGAATAGTTCAACATCATTGGTGCCAGTGGGAGGAATAGTTCCCCATCATTGGTATCAGTGGGAGGAATAGTGCCCCATCATTGTTGTCAGTGGGAGGAATAGTGCCCCATCATTGGTATCAGTGGGAGGAATAGTGCCCCATCATTGGTGTCAGTGGGAGGAATAGTGCCCCATCGTTGTTGTCAGTGGGAGGAATAGTGCCCCATCATTGGTA